TCCCCGCCTTCCTCCCCCCTCTCCGTCCCCCCCACCGCCGCTCCCGGCTCTCTCTCTCCGTCTCTCTCGCTCGCACACGCGCCCGCGCTCCCCCTGCCTCTCCCTGCAGCCGGCCGTGCACGGGTGGCCATGTAACGCGGCGGGGAAAGTTGGCGATCGGAGCAACATGAAGCAGCGTCGCTCGTAGCGGTGCCCTGTTCGGAGCGGAGCGGCATCCAGCGCGCAGCCCTGCAGGGATGGAGTCGGTAAAACAAAGGATTTTGAACCCCGGCAAGGAGGGACTGAGGAATTTTGCTGGAAAATCGCTTGGTCAACTCTACAGGTAAGAACGAGGTCTCTTGGAGGATTGCGCTGCTCACTAGGAGCGACCGGAGGGTTTTCTTAAGCCCCAGCTGCCGGGGGAGGTGGAACAGTTTATGCGCTGGGTACGTTGGTCGCGGACGGGCTGGGAGCTCTTTAGCTATCACTGATATAATCTGGATCCTGGAAACTACTGCTGAAGCTTCTCAATATGGCACCCTCCTAACTTGCCTAGCTGATTTGTAGATGGTGGCAGCAGATCTGCGGCGAGAGATCACCCCGTCTTTCTGCCACTAACAAAAACCAGGAGCCCATCTCGAACCCAGATTCAGAGGAGAGCAGCTCCCTGTATTTTTGTTTTGCGGTAATTTTGCAACGCAGTCCAAGGGTCTTTCTCCTTGCCCTTACCAATCATTTAAGAAAAAATAATAACAATAATAATAATAATCCTTCCTGGTTTCGATTAGTCTTGTCCCCTGTGTAATTCGTCGCCAGAGGAAGACAAACATGGAGATATATAAATAATTGATAACCGAACGATTTTTTTTTTCTTAAGCTCAAACGTATAGAGGGATATATTTAATTATTTATCAGTCTGCATCGGGGAGCAGCCACTTGGTTTATAAGTAATATATAACTGCAACTGCTACACGCGTAAGAATCACGCAGAACGTTTCTCTGCTTATGCACATTTCTATCATCTTCGAGACGGCATACGGCCCCCAAATCAGCCATTACTAAAAAAATAAAAAATAAAAATAAAAAGATGTGCCAAAAGTTAACATATCGGCTTCCATCAAACCTGGCGACTCTAGTGACCTCCAGCACGCTGGGAGTCATTCCAATATATTTTTGGAATTCTCCTCTGATAGAAATTGTGCCCATTTTTTTTTCCTTTTTAAAGAATTATTGCTGAAAGCCAAGTGCGGTTTTATTTGCCTGCTTTAGGTCACGTAAAAGTGGTTTTTTTTTTTTCCTTACCTCTGCGGCAGTGCTGGGCACAGGCACAAGGCTGGTGCTCAGCATGAGTCACAACTTCTGCTGCCATTTTAAGGGGAGGGGGGATAGCAGCGAAGTGATAAAGACAAAACCAAGGCTTCCATTTAAGGAGGAAAGGGGCAGTTTTAGCAAGCCAAAGCAAACGACAATGTAGTGAAACCCCTGCATTTTATGGCCGTAGTTTTAAGCCGCCTTCGACGACCAGAAAAATAACTAGAGAGAAACGAGAATAACTCTTTAAAATACCACGAAGGAAATAAAACCTTTTTTCTGACGCGCTAAAAGACTCACGAAAACTTAAATGAATAAAACGATCGTGCCCACTTCTTTTTATATTGTCACACGGCAAATTATGGAGAAGCGGGGTCCACATTTTCCAGGGAAACTCCTTTTAAACTCTCCCTTGACTAACGAGTGCATTGGTTACTAATCTCACCCAACGCACAGCACCCAACCATTTTTGTTTCCGATTCGAAGAATTACAATAGTTTCGTGTATCCCTTATACCTTAGTGTCTTCCCGAGGACGACAAGCCCTTTCAGTGAGAAGACACTTCGGCATCACCCTCCATTCCCACGAACGAAGTTTGAGCGTTAAAATAAAAATCCCGCAAGGTTGCCTTTTATTCGCGACTTCAAGGCACTACGAAAGCCAATGCCCGCTTTACGAACGGGATTAATTCTCCCCGCAAAGAAATAAAACAAAATAAAACAAAACAAAAATAATGGCGAGGATTTCAGCTGAGTAACTGCTCGAGGGATGCTCTGTATTTTCCGCAAATCGCAGAGAAGCCGCCGCTTCCCCCCGCCGAGCTGCTCCTCGCAGGAGGTTCCTGGCATGAGCAGAGGGCTTAGGGCACCGCTAGGACATTTATTTTTTCGTGTTTTTTAAATATCCCCGTGCCAATAAAAGGAGATTGAGGGTTCGGCATGGGACATTCGCTTGGCAAACCTCGACCCTATCGCCGGCGAGGTGTTTTTAAAGCTTTTCCTCCAGAGGAGAAATCAAATCAAATGTTCTACTAAGTTGCCTTTGATGGAGGACAGGGTTGGGGTTTTTGTTGGTTGGTTGGTTGTTTTTTCCGTTGTTTTCCCTTTGGCTTGAATTTGGCACAAATAAGCATTTCTCGCCAGCCCTGGTTTCTAGGATTGCCGCCTAGGGAGGGCTAAGGGAACGAGGGCAGCGCACACGGGGCTGCCCCGGGGAGATGCTCGCACGCTGATCGTCGGACAGGCTTGTCCGGAGATCGTTTTCCGAGGACAACCACCCTATTTTCTCCCCCAGCTCGTGACAGCCATTTTGCACGTCCAAAAGAGGCAGCGCTGTCGCCCCCCGCGCCCTTTTCCACTAACATTTCTTCTGCTCCCAGACCAGAAGCGATGTCACCACCCGCTCACACCCTTAATATTTCCAATGCAGCAACGAGAGGGTTGCAACCTGCTCCAAAAATAAACAAATAAATAATAAATTAAAATAAAAAAACAAAAGCAAGAAAACGAAGCCTCTTGGGCTGCCCAACATGGCGCCTCTGCAGTGGTTACAGACGATGCCTCCTCACTGCGTCCTACATATTTAAAGAGGAGGCTTTAATGATAGATGAGCCATTCGCAGCCAGAGCTCCTCCCTGGGGCGGGGGGGAGGCGGCGGAATGCGGGGTGGGGAGGGGGGGACACGGGGATGACTAATCGCGACTCCCACAGGTCCTTGCTGAAGGTTGCTGAAGGTTGAAGGCAGAGCAGGAACCCCCCCAAACCCCGAGCCAGCCCCACCTGGAGCTCCGGAGGAGCCGGCGGGTGGTGACGGGGTCTTGACTCCCGCCTCCTCGTGCCCTTGCAGGGTCTTGGAGAAGAGGCAGAAGGCCGGGGACACCATCGAGCTCACGGAGGATGGCAAGCCCGTGGAGGTGGCCCCGAAGAAGGCGCCGCTGTGCGACTGCACGTGCTTCGGGCTGCCGCGGCGCTACATCATCGCCATCATGAGCGGCCTCGGCTTCTGCATCTCCTTCGGCATCCGCTGCAACCTGGGAGTGGCCATCGTGGACATGGTCAACAACAGCACCATACACCGCGGAGGGAAGATCATTAAGGAGGTGGGGACCTTCCCCCTCGTCGCCGGCCCCGGCCCCGCCGCTCTCTCCGTACCACTCCGTGCTCTCGGTGGGACCAGGCAGCGCTTTCCGCGGCCCCGGGGACGGGGGTTATTTTTCACGTGCTGAGTTTCTTCCGTGAAAACAAACAAACAAACAAACAAACAAAAAACATAAATCCAGTGTCTCGCAAAACGAATGCAGGGGACGGGGGGCTCGGAAGGCGTCGAGCCAAGCGCCAGCACAAGGGGTCGCGGCGCCGGCGAGGGAAGGGGCCGAGGGAATAAAACGGCCCCGCTGCAACGCGGCTCGCAGCCCAGGCGCGCGGGGGTGAAGGTCACGCACAGCCGAGGCTTAACCGGGCAAGCCCGGCCCCAACCGCCCGCCTGCAGGAGCTGCGGGCAGCGGCGGCCGTTTTTAGGCACCGGGGGGCGGGTTGTGGGTCGGGAAGGCAGCACTGCCCCCGCTTCGTTTCCCGGGGGCCAGCGACGCCTGTGCGAGCCCGGGACGTCCCCGGGCCCGAGGCTGCGGTGAGCGGCCGGCCGGGGCACACGGGTAGCCCGCGGCGATCGCTACCGAGTTGCTTTTGCTGCCGCTTCTTTATTCCGGGCAGGAATAGGTGCCTCTTCCCCGTCCCTGCCCGGCTGCTCGCTAGAAAGCTGCCGCGCGGCAGCGCTTGAATGCGGCCCATTAACAACCTTCCTCTTCTTCTTCTTCTTCTTTTCCTCCTCCTCCTCGTCCCTCCCTCCTGACACCTTGGCGCGGCAAGAAAGCGAAGTTCAACTGGGACCCCGAAACGGTCGGCATGATCCACGGCTCCTTCTTCTGGGGCTACATCATCACGCAGATCCCCGGCGGCTACATCTCGTCCCGGCTGGCGGCCAACAGGTAAACCCGCGTCCGCGGGGGGCCCGGCCCTGCCCCCGCCGCCCGCTGTTAGCAAAACCCGAGAAAAACTCACACGTTCCTTTTTGCATCGAAGCTGCAGAGATTTTTCCTTCCCCTCCTCCTTTCTTTTTCTTTCTTCTTCCTTTTTTTCTTTTTTTTTTCCAAAGACTGGATGAAACAATTTTTTTTTTTGGGGGGGTGGGTTTTAAGACAAGGAAAACCATCAGCGGGAGTTTTCCATTGGCACCGAAATGAATGTGGAATGGTCAAAAAAAAAAAAGAAAGAAAGAAAGAAAAAAGTGTGCTTCAATGAGATTTACGCAATGAAAGGGAAGTGCAGATGGCGTGGGGACTTAAGGACCCGTTTCTATGGCGTCTGGCAGTATTGCAAGCACCCTGGGTGCGATTCTACCTGTTAATTAGATCCGCTGGGTATTCAAGGCACATGAGGCTTTCACGTTGCATCCTTAGTGCCCTAGGCTCCTCATTAGGAGAAGTAACGAAGGTCCTAGTGCCGCTCTGCAAAGCTGCAGTGAACTAAGTGCAGATGGATGCTAAAAATACTAACAGAGACCTTTAACTCCTCTCAGGAGCAGGCAGCATCAAAGGTAGCCCTGAATAGAGATGCTATCTGCTTGCCTGGGAGCAAGTTTCCTCGTATTTGGGGAAAAAAAGGGAGAAGAAAGGGCAAAAATGCCCTCTCTGAGGGCAGCATCCCTTATAGACAAGAGACTTCCATGAAAAATAATGACTATTTACCAGGGTAGGGATCCTCTGAACAACTCTTATCATCCTTCTGATTGCAAATGAAACCACAACACGACATTTCTTGAATAAGGATATCCAGTGCCTGAAATTTTACAGGATAATGGCTCAGAAATGCATGAGGCTATTTCAAATAACGACAAAGCACCCCCAAAAGGGCTCCTTCCCCTTTCTTCCTATCATCTTGGGCATGTTTTTTTTGCATCTTTACACATCCTGTAACACCTTGAAATGTCAGGAATCATCCCCTACCAAAGACGGCAGCATTTGACCCAGGGATCTAAGAAATTCAGCCATCATTTGCCCTAGCATAACTTCAGCAAAGGAATCTGAGTTAATCCAGGTATCAAGTAGTGTAACCGTAAAGATCTGCAAGAGAACGGCATGGGAATTCCAAGGAAAACTCGGAGGAGTAGGAATACACAGCCTGGAGCCTCAGAACCAGGTTTTCCTCTCCTTTGCAATGTTCCTGTTATTAGCCTGGCTGGATTTTAACTCAGGATTTTTCACAGATAAGTTATTGCTGTTGTGCAAGCCTCTGAGATAACTCCAGCACAAGGTGAATGACTGTTTAAATCACCAAGTGTCAGCTACTATAGAAGTCAGTGTTGGCCAGATGTTACAGCCACAGTTGGTCCCTTCACCTTGTGGTGGATGAGATCTGGGTTATTTATGTATTTATTTTTCCCTATCAAATCTCCCCACGTATCTTTTGTGAGATCCTTGTTTTCCTCTGCATTTCTGCATGCAGAGGGTCTGAATTTATACAGAAAAACTAACTTCTGCCTATGAAAAACAGACTCCAGAAAAGCACAGCAGGATTCAGGACAATCTATTAAAAATTCAGCCTGGAGTTGAAGATGGAAAATGAGTCATTCCCCATAAGGGAAGGAGATAAAGCTTACAAGGAAAGGATGGCACAAAGGCAAGAACATGTCCCAACTGCCAAGAGTGTCAAGGGAAGCGACGAGCAAGGAAGGCTAGCGGGTGTTTTGTGACCGCAATTTGTTACTTCCAGGCAGTTGCTGAGTTTGCTTGATATTAAGATTCAGTTTAGCAGCCAATTATAGACACTGGGACATAGCCTGGCTGCGTCACTGAGGCACAAGGCAGGGCAGAAACGACCCTCCTGTCACTCAAGGAAACCCTTCCTCGCGCAGCACGTTCATTGCAAGCAGGGCTGAGCCTCTGTATTTTCATCTTGTCCCTCATTCAAAACACGTACTGCCCATCAAGAATTAGTCACAACGAACCCTCCAATCTCTGCTTTTTTTTTTTTTTTTCTTTTTTTTTTCTCAATCAAGTCAGCTGGGAGATTTTTACTAACAGGCCTTTTACTAATGTGCTTTCCTAATTGTGAAACGCAAGGTTGCTTCCACACAGCAGTTTGGTGCTCTTGCCATACATGCAGCTCCCTGTTGCTTCAGAGGGATTTATTGATGGGTGATGAACAGCGGATCGAGGTTGTCAGGGGTTTGCACTGGACAGCTTGGTCCTCAGCTTGTCTCAGATGTAATCACTGAGGATTTTCCTCGATAAAGTCCTTTCAGTCCAACACTGAGAGAAATGCTTTACCTACAAGAGTAAGGGGACTTACGGACCCATTTCTGTAGTGTCTGGCAGTATTGCAGTATTCCACTTTCTTAGTACCACTAAGATGAAACAAAATTGTGCTTGAAAATTCCAGAGCACATGTAGAACTTTTTGCTCTAGGGAACCAGCAGAAATTGGGTTATAGCACCTTACACAGGCCACTCCTGAACATTTTCAACTTCTATTGCTTTCCATAGCATTAGGGAAGATTCAGGACACTGCAAGACAATTTAATCTTCCAAAAGACTAGGGTTGGGCCTCAGGTGCCAACTCGTTTGCCATGAGCGAAGCTTTAAACTTGCATCCCTTGGGAAGTGTGTGAAAATGGAAGAGGGTTCCCTTTTGGTGCAAGGCTAGCGACCTCTTCTCCCAGAGGAGGATCTGCCTCTGGAAGAGGTTGGTCCGAAACTGCCCTGCAACCAATGCAGGAGGCCAGAGGAGCGATGGAAGCACCACGTGGAGTCCCTCGGGGAGGGTTTATTGCAGCTACACCTTTCCTTGGGATTAGGTTCTCAATGAACTACAAGCAATTAACCTTGCCATCCATTGAGCATTAGGGGACATTGAGCACTGAGCACTGGGACACGCTCTGGAGAAGGCATCCTGCCGCAGGGGCCTCCAAGTCAGCAGCTAATCCAGGTTTCTTACTTCCCATATTTGGAATTTCCTTGCACTGGGAACAGTGCCCCACTCCCTGGACTGCGCTGCCCTGGGAGAAGTGGATGGTCCCTGTAGAGATTTTTATATAAATATCTTCCACAAGAGAATATCAACCATGATTTAGATCTTTTGAGAGTGGTGGGGCATGAACGGACGAACGGGTTACAGAGATCCCAAGATGCTATAAACATTTTTTTAGCTACAACTCATTCTGAGTAGTAATAGCAAAGCTTTCTTATAAAAGAGTAGCAGAGAGAGAAATTTTTACAAAGATGAAAAATGCTGGGGATTCAACACTGTTTACTGCTTTTATTCAAGTCACAGCAGATTTTCACTAGTGTGACCTGCAATTTTAGAAGGAACAAACTGTGTGGCACTCAGATTATCTAAAAGCATTTTTCCACCCTGAAAATTACAAGGAAAAACAGGAAAATTCAAGTATAATCCACGACTAGCATGTGTTCACACTATTTAATCAGTTGAACCGTAACTCGCAATGGCAGTAAATGCCATTTAAAAGCAGGGGAAATCTCATTTGAATGCTTTTAAAGTACAGGTTTCCATGTCAGCGCTGCTGAGGCTACTGTTATGAGATTATCACGCTGCGTGAACACACTGCAGTCCGTAACCCACCGCAGTCCCCCAGGCCGGGGCTCGGCATTGCTCCTCAGGCCACAAAAGGGACTTTGTCTGGGGCTAATCAGACTTCATTTCAACTCGGCACCTTTGAAAAGGTGGCTATCGCTTACAGTCATTGAAACCTTATTAAAAGGAAAAAGAAACAAATTTGTGGTTTGACAGTTGCTCAGCTCTGTCTTTCGAAAGTGGATTAAATGGAAAGTGACGGCCAAGATGCTTTAAATGCTCTAAAATGATGCAGGGAATGCAGTATTCTGATATGAAGTTCAGAAATGACCTTTCGATAATTACACTCTTTTGTAGCACCTTAGCAACTGCATTATCAGCAGATTTTGCTGTTCTGATATTTTGAAAAAATGTAAGTGTGTAATCTGCAAACTGGTACATTTTTTTCTTGACTTTGCGCTCCTCCCAGAGAATTTTTGTATTTTAGCTAAGCAGCTTGGTTGGGAAGCACGTCAAACCTCACGTGTATTATAGCATCCCCAGAAGAGGCTCAGCTCTGCCCCTTGACTATATAGGGGCCCCAGAGCATTTGGGCTATAACAAGCTCAAGTCATCACGTAGCTGTGACAAAATCCCTTTTCTCATGTTTTTCATAAATAAGCGAGTGTCTATAACTGGAATAACAATACTTATCAAATGGGTATATTATGAATACTGATTAACTACTGTTTATGAACCCTTCAGAGATTTATATGCTATTGTGACAGTGCTGAACAGTCCTTTAACAAGATCTAGTGCGATCTGCACATTTTATCAGCCGTTTCGTAAGTGCACGTAAATGCTGATAAGCTTGTGGGTGCAAAGAGGCCAAAGATGATATATTGAAGACCACTGTAAACTGGTAAGACGTATAGAAAAAGAAATAGCAGGAACCACGTGTCCAGTATGTTCGAAAGAATACTGGGAGGTAACGATTATAAAATATGCATGAGCCTTCCCTGGGGAAAATGTCTGGGTATGAATGTACTGCGCTTTGTTTAATCCTACAGAAAGTCATAACAAGAACCAGTAGGGAAAAGCCAGATAAATGGAAGAAACATAAATATTAACAAAGAGTATTGGCCACCACTGGCCCAGGCAGAGACAGAATATATTGCATTTTTCACCTTGGATGCTAGATTCCTATTCTGAAGGCCTTCTTTCAGCTCTGACAAAAACATGCTTTCAGGAGGGGGCAAGCAAGGGAAATGGAAGTGCCATAGGGGACTTACGGCCTTCAAATATATTCACTTTGGCCTTAAAACATATTGGCTAGTTTTGTCTTTAACCTAGAAAAACGACGCCTTTATTTAAATCAGCAATTCCTGATGCCCACTGGCACTGCTGCAAAGCTGCAG